GACTCAGTTATCCCAAAGACAAGATCTCCCTCTGGATTCGATCCGACCACAACCAGGACTCCACGCCGGAGATCCTCCGTCATTGGATCGACTTTCGCGGCTCGGAATACGAAGATGTGAACGTGGAGATCCACGCCAGTCCAAGGCATTATCCAGGGGACGATCCCAAAAACAAACGCTTCCCCTGGCTCGAAAATAGATTTAAGAACATTATCGACCTCAAGAACGAGGCCTTTGGATATGCCCGTGAGAAAGATTTCCATTACGTCTGGTTCCTGGACGCGGATGTTCTCTTAGTGGAACCGATGACCCTGAAGGTATTGATTGCTGAAGACGTTCCGATCATCGCCCCCGTGATCAAAAACCCTCATTCAAATCACGCCAACTTCTGGGCCTCCATGGCCGGGTATTACTTCCTGTCCAGTTCCCTTTACTACCTCATCCTGACTCGGAGTGCGGAAGGAACATTCAGCGTCCCTGTCATCCACTCTGCCATCCTCATCGACTTGAAGAGAGAACGAACTCGCGATCTCAGTTTCGATCCGAAAAAATGTTGGGATCCCGATGTGCCTTATGATGATGTGATTGCCTTTGCAATGAAAGCCAAGGAAATCGGGCTGAAATTGTACGTCACCAACGCCCACAATTTCGGTATATTCCCCGAGCCATCCGAGGAACTGGACAAGCAAATAGAAGAGCAAAGAAGCCTCCATCTATCCATTCTTGACCGCCAAAATTCTTTCTGCGTGGATCCTATCATGAAGTCTTACGCAGCAGGATATCCAAAGAAACTGAATCGATCTCTAAATTTGTCTAAGGTATACGTAATCAACCTGGCGAGAAGATCAGAAAGACGATGGAGGATGGAGGAGGCATTGAGGCTTTTGGGATTGGAGCCCACAATCCATCGAGCCACTGACGGTCGGACCCTGGATGATAACACTCTTCAGCACGAAAGTTATCAGCTGCTGTCTAGCTACCGTGAGCCCATGTACGGACGAATGATGACCTATGGAGAGATCGGCTGTGCACTGAGTCATTGGAAGGTTTGGAAAGAGATTGCAAGCATGCCCACGGGGTCCAGGGCTTTGATATTAGAAGACGATGTTTACTTCCTCGAAGACTTCCCTAGAAGGCTTCAAGAAGTCCTGGAAGCTGCAGAGGATGAGAGACTCCCATGGGACCTCATATACCTCTGGAGAGTCACTCCCATGGACGTGGTAGTGAACGGACCAGAATACGAGAGTGAGGTCTTTGTTTCGGCTCCGTATTCCTGGGACGCATTAGCGTACCTCCTAACAACAGAGGGAGCCCGAAAACTTTTAAAGGGAAGATTCAATGAGAACCTCATACCTTGTGATGAATACCTTCCCATCATGTACAACAGACATCCTAATGAGACATTGATGGACATTTACCCTAACCGGGATCTTAAGGCTTTCTCACTTCACCAGCATCTAGTCTCTCCGTTGTACAAGATGGGCATGGATCACACTAGTGACACTGAAAACTCTGATATTGTTTCCAACCACCTTGTTCAAAGTGACTCTGTCTAAGGTGCTGATAGTCATCTATGTCGCATAGACTTGAAGCAGGCAGTTCAGTTTCTTAAAGGCCAAAGTCATTTTTTTGTGATCTCTCCAAATAAGGACACGTGAGACAGTATTGACTCATAAAATTGGCATTCAGAACCAATTTATGAGTTATTAAGTATGACGGCCTCAGTGGATCACTTATCAGTGACTTAAAAAATGTGATCACATGTCATTGTTGCCAACATGCATGGTGATTGGTAAGTTTGTTACCATTATATTTACATTTACTGAGAGAGGAGTGCATGCTCCTTAGATAAAACAATTTCACCATTAAAAAGAGGGTTTTCCCCGTTACTTTTCGGTTTCTTCTGTGCAGCGTTCTTAGGCATTCCCCAAAGAAATCTAGTGGAGTCAAGTGACCTAGAAGACCATTTTGCCTTATCCATTTGAACATTCTGCATTTGAACATCTGGGATATTGAAACCATATTCCCAGCAAACAATTTCAAACACATAACGTTAGGTCAGCGTTGAGTCAACATTGAATAAACGTTAGGAACGTTGATACAACGTTGGTCCAACGTAGCCTTGTTTGCTGGGTTACCTGTAGGAAAAAATTGCTCTTTTCTATGGTATAATTGGTTCTCTTCCTATAAATGTAAGTAGAGTGGTAACAAGCTTATGAATAACCCTGAAAAGTAATAAAATATAAATACAAGAAGTATCACTAGCATTCTGTTCCAAAATTTCAATGACTATATACATTATAGGACTGCCAATCAATAAAAAAAGACTAATCCGGAGCAATTCAATAGATTAATCGGTCGATTAATTGAATTTTAAGCGATCCCGTAGTTCCTTGTTGGATGTGGGAAATGGAAGAGTGTTGATAAATGCAGAAAGTCAATTGAAGTAAATATTAGAAAAGAAGCGCACTGAGGCACTTTGCAGTTAGCCAACCCATACCGGAAGGATGCGACAATGTCAAATAAATGACTAGATGCATACAGTGACACTTCGTTTCGAGGAAATTTGAAGATTCGATATTCCATACGTCATGTTTTCCTGGACTCGTCCTCCTTCTGTCGAATAATCTAATCGAGTTGACAGCCCTAATAAATTATAAAGCAGAATTTGATCACTTCTTCAGTATCCTGTACCAGACTGCATCTTAGACTACACCACAAATGCAATGATCACAATGATTAATATTCCCTATTTTATTCACCAACCGACATAGATATGAAAACAGCAGCAGCAGCAGCATAAACTCTGCGATGCTCAGCAAATGTAAATATGAAATATAGGGCGACGTATAACAACCATAAAATACATTAAATTCATGCAACAAGATAACAGGAACACTTGAATATACCACAATATAACCAAGAAAATATATGATTGGCATGAAAATAATACTGTTGATCAAAATATTATTGTCAAATAATGTTTGAATCACCATCACCGAGTTGGTACATATTTATCTGCAAGACACAAATTCAAGATATGAGGCAAAAATTGGTATTTTGTACTATTCAGAAAAGGCATGGCTTCTTTTCCAGGCAACTCAGAAGGTTCTCTATGCAGGACATGGAATTTAATTGATCAGTACTTGATGAAGATGCAATCTATAGGTTCTACCCTACATGCATGGTAAAATATGAAGGACAGAAACCTGTCTTTCATGACTTTTGTATTTTAAAAAAGTTTCTTTCTTCAAAAAGGCACAAGTAAACAAACATCCAAAGGGGGAGTTGTGGTGTACCTGCACCAGGACAAGACCCAAAAAACGCCTAGGCCAGGTAAAGTTTGGGCTACGCTGGACAGTAAAAATACGCCTGCGTCCGCGCCAGGGAAAGGAGTAGGGTATTCATGAGCTCAGTCAATATTCCTCTGAAATTATTAATAGCTTGGATTGTGGGTTCCGGCAAGTACAAAAACAGTCTCTCTGAAAAGTTCCAAAATTACCAATTATATGTGAAAAAATATATTAATATGTGAACATATTTTTTTAAATTACACTGGTCGTACCGAATGCAATGAGCACTAATTTATTAAAGGAGAACCATTATTCGGACAAGCCTGAGATTTTATTCACACAACATAGTATGTTTCTGCTACTGATGGACATCGGGAATTTCGTCGTTTATGCCCAGGTGGCAGCACAGTAGCCATTGAAAATGACGCCTACTATGGATGGCGTTTTGAAGCAAAAAGCAACGATAAAGTTCCTCACAAAAGAATATGTAACCCCAGAAAAAATATATGTGTGTCTGCAGAATGTACATGGCGAGTCTAGCAACAGTTATGAGAGTGTGAAATGGTGGGTTCTGCATTTCAAGAGGGGAAACAGTGACATTGAAGACAAACCACGTTCAGGCAGGCCAACCAGCGCTGACATTTGACAGCAAAACGGGTGTTACACGACGCCCTCCCTCCCTGACTGTTCCGTGACGATCATTTATCGGGTGTCAGTCGACGATCATTTCGGATCAGTTCATCCAGATGCGTTTTGCGGTCAGGTGTCAGCGTTGGATGGCCTGCTTGAACGTGGGTTGTCTTTGATGTCACTGTTTCCACTCTGGAAATGCAGAACCCACCATTTCACACTCTAACTGTTGCTAGACTCACCATGCACAATCTGAAGACACACATATTTTTTCTGGGGTTACATATTCATGGGGTGCTTTTTGCTTCAAAACGCCATCCATAGTAGGCGTCATTTTCAATGACTACTGTGCTGCCACCTAGGCATAAACGACGAAATTCCCAATATCTATCAGTAGCAGAAACAAAGTATGTTGTGTGAATAAAATCTCAGGCTTGTCCGAATAATGGTTCTCCTTCAATAAATTAGTGCTCATTACTTTCGGTACGACACTCGTATAAAACATTACCCGACCCAATCAAGGCTACAAGCAACAATGTTTAAAAAGCTTCAAGGACCATAAAGAGATGAGCTTCAAGATGGACTCACATCCTCAAAACAGCACTTGTTGTGACCTGCTTCCTCTTGATAGTTTCCTGGCCCTGTCTGATTACACTCAAGCTCAAAGACAATACCTGGAAATCGTAAATCCATACATGATGTAAGTTTTTTTTTTGTAAATATCCAGTTGGATTTGGAGGCATCAGTTAGGCCAAGTCAGAAAGATAATTTGTTTAAATTGATACAAGATATTAGCTCACTCACTTTCCGTGTGTGCTCGGGAAGAATTACACCATCAATCAAGGTGTTGCATGAAGCATGAAATGCAGACCCAACTGGAAAGTCAAAATCCAAATTTCCAGCTTCTACATTGAAATCTTTCATTTCTGATTTCCATCTCTTGAAGTCCTCTGTATCTTGCTTCATGGACAAGCAGGCCAGGGGCCATGCAAAGTTTAACCATGGTTGAAATCCTGGCCCACACTGGGAAAATTAAAGTGACAATCACTGGTTAGAATAGAAGAGATTCAAAAGTTTAGGAAAATTTAAAAGTAGTATACCATGGTATAGCAGTCATCCTCCAGGCAAGCTCCAACGGTGACAGCTATCTTAGGAACTTGCATATTCGAGACAGTTGCAGCCATTTTGGCCTTATCCTTTAGTGCAATTCCAAGATCCTCAGGATGTGAGTCAGCCGATGTCTGTCGATCGAGAGGGGAATTGTGGAGAAAAATGACAGGAATGCCACGCAAATCACAGAGGAATAGGAAGTGACAGCCCTTGAGGGCATCAGCGGATGTTAGAGCTCCGTGATGCCCAAGGATCCCAATCAACTGCCTGGAATCAAAGAGCTCGTCAGTGTGTAGTTGGAGGCTTTCAAATAAATCAAGATAATATTACTGACCCATCAAGAAAAGCAAAGCCAGTAACAAGGTTGGCACCAAATAAAGGCTTGAACTCATGAAACCTGCTCCCATCCACAATTCGAGCTATTATTTCCAAGGTTGTGCTCCTATCTCTCTCTTCCACTCCACTGAGGGCTGTGATGAAAACATAGCTGGGGAAACACCAAAAAGGAAAAGTAATAAAAAGAGTAAATCAGATACAAACATACCAGTGAGATCACTAGATGGGAAGAGAGGCAGTTGGACTGATATATCTTTGGATATCTCCTCTGAAGGTATATTCAGAGATGCTACAATGTCTCGGCATGAAGAGAGTGCTTCTTCTTCATTGCCAGAAAAATAGTCCATGCACCCACTCACCCTGAAATGGAATAGTCAATATGCAAAGTGCCTTTCAGTTTGGAAATTGGGAAAATTCAGCTGTTAATATATACATGTGGATATGACATAATGTAAAGAAGATGGACATCACAACACCTATGTCATTACATTATAATAGGTTTATTGACAGTCAGAGTACCACCATCAAAATGTCTGCACAAGTATGCATGTTGATTCATGTCCAGGTTTATTGAATTATAAGCATCCTGAGTTTGAGAGCATTACAAATTCATATGAGGTGATTTGTAGTTGATTGTACCTGCAATGCATTGAGGCACCACCCAGCTCCTCCTCAGAGACAATTTCCCCTGTGGCTGCCTTCACAAGAGGTGGCCCCCCAAGGAAGAGAGTTCCAATGCGATCAACAATAATGGCTTCATCTGCCATTGTGGGAATATAGGCACCTCCAGCATGGCAACTTCCACCAACTATTGCTATTTGAGGAATGCCTTTGCTGCTGGCTATTGCTTGTCTATAGAAGATGGTTCCACCTTGCTTCTTGTCGGGGAAGCATTGAGCCTGGAAATAATCGATGAAATTGTCAGATATTCTATCATTTGAGATGAAAAAATATATATACTGTATTAGTACCCAATCTGAAAAGCAGAGCTTGTCTTTTAGTTTTGGAGACTCTAACTAGGTTGACTGTGACCTATGGGGAGGAAGGAATAAATCTGATTTTGGAAGTATTTGAAAGCCCAGGTATTCCAGTAAAAAATTCCAGCTATAATTCTGCTGGTATTCATAGTTGGATCCAACTGGTTCTAGCTGGGAGTAGATGGTTTTCAAATTTCCCGTAGGGTTCCACTTGACCCAGCTGATAAATAGCTGGATTGCTCTTTGTTTACCTTAGGAGTCCTTATGCACGACTTTTTTATTATCATTTTAAACGTGGACTGGGACGGACACTTACAGACAAGGACAAATGCCACAAGCGGCCAACAAATACGAGAAGGGTAAAGGTGTTCTAGATCGGACATCCCTGACGGCATTAGCCACACCTACCCGCGCTCTCTATCACTGTGTATCCCGTTTTCATGGGCCCGGGGCAGGTGACGGAGACTTCGATGCCGCTCAGATCTGAATGCCTTCCATCACTGCACATCGGACCGGCAGGGCCGATATGTCGGGTGCTTTTGAGGTGCACTAAACCCCTACCTCTCACACAATGGAGCATAGAGTGGCTTATGCTTGAACCCAAGGGGGAGCAGGTAGTACCCGGTAGCAGGCGGGTGGGCTGTCGGTCCAGGAGAGTACCGCCTGCCGCCGATCGGATTCGAACCTGGACCTCCCGCGTACTAGCCCGAGCTCTGATATGCCCTGATATAAATAAATATATTTAAACCTTAAACATTGTTTTAAAGGAGTCAATTAATAGGCAAATTCGTTTAATATTAATAGATTCATACGGTTAAATTTCCAGTGTAGATGGTCTGCAGCTGATTTATATATGGCAATAGCAGGAAACAAGTTTCTGCTGGTCTATAAGTGGTTATTGGATGGTTTCAGATTGATCTCATTTTTCGCCCATATTCTTTACGTGGGATACACTCTATGTAGCGGATACAAGATTTCAATACTGTTACTTTGCATGAGAGGAATTTATGGAAAATCTCTTTTCACGGATTCTTTCTCAGTTAAAATCCATCGATAAGAACGCTCACGCAAAAAATAATAATAATTCCTGCAAAGTGCGAAAAATGCCAAAGAGTTTCACGACACGGTTATATTACGGCTCAGAAGCTCCTCAATAGCTCCGTGAGGAAGGGTTACCATACGTCCGGTTTTTCCCGGACATGTCCTCTTTTTTGCCTTCATATTTCCGTCCGGGCGGATTTTTGCGAAGTATTGAATTTGTCCGGGATTCTTCCTCCGGTCACCAATATTCAGCATTTTTTCGGCCTAGCAACGTTGGTGCGACGACACGTCAGTAACGTTTCCTGCTTCCTATTCCCTTCATTGGGGGTCTCTCCTCGAGACTTCATGGTCACCATCTCAATTTCGCATTTTCTTCCGTGGTGAGAGTCAGCAGGTTTCACATCTCAAATTTCCACAGTTTCATCAGCCGTTTCAAGTTCTTCGTGAACGAAGTCAGATACTTGACTACGCAGAAATTAGAGCGCCACCCAGAGTCGCATGGTTCATGCTCTTTGCCCTTGCCGAGCCCCTTAAAAAACGGAGGTATGGAAACAGGAAATCGCTGATAACGCTTAGGTACTTGATCGGCGCTTCTCAAAATCAGCTTTTGACGCGCATGTGCATCATCGGCAGCGAACGTTTCGTAAATGCATGACTTTAAAGTGCCCCATTGAAAAGAAAAACTGGGGACTGTGAAGTCAGGGCTTCTGACCGGCCATAAAAATCTCCAAATATTGAATTGAGACGGTTCAGAAACACCTTTTTTTTCGTCAACTCCTCTAATACGCGGGGACGTTTGCGCAGTTGCCCCATCCTGATTTTCATTAACTCCCATCTAATGATTCGGGAAACAGGCAGAACAGCCACAGTTAGGTTTGAGCAACACACCAAGTGATGAATGAACTTCTCATCCCAAAACTAAAAATGATTTATACTTTCTGCTAGCGCCCCAAAAATGGGTGAAGTACTTCAACAACTAAAAAAAATGTAGACTCTCTTAGAAATGTTAAAGATAGCAGATTTTTTCTTTGCTATTCCTTCTCACAATGCAAATGCAGAGAGAGAGAGTTTTCGCTAATGCAAAGCCAGTGGACACCAGAAAGGAACAACTTAGCTGTTGAGCCTGTGAAAGGGATCCTTTTTGGGCAGTATTATCAATACTTTGAGTATATCTCTTGCAAAAAGATTTTCACGGTTATTTGAGAACATTGAAAACAATGGTAAAGAGTCTGTGATCTCAATCCTCCACTCCCTCGTCCTGAAAACTAGATAAGAAAATGAAGGACGGAATTCGCGGACACTCCATCGAACATTGCGAGTGGACCTTTCCGTGCCATATTTAGCACATCCAGGGGAAGATTACTTCTAGAAATGTACTATGGCTCCTGCCTATACATGATACAGATACTGTATTACGCATGAGCAGGGGTTATACCAGTACAGGCTTCGTCCTGCTGATGGGAACGTCTGGGTAAAGAGACAAAGTATATGGTACGAAATAATGAAAACAATTACTCAATATTGGCAGTATATCGGTCCAGTTCGGGGCCAGTGAAGCCTGTGCTTTTCCGGGTAGTGATGCCAATCTAGTGTTACTAGATTGGTACTCTAGTCTACTACCTACTCTGGACCTACCTATCTTGTGTTACTTGGGAATGTGGCTACATGTTAACTGATACTGTTACTTAAAATTATTTATTTATAATTGGCTCTGATCCATGATCTATGTCTTTTCATATGTTGTTACAGGTAAAATGGCCAATCCTGGTCACAGGAAGATGGGAAATGGAAAAGGAAGTATTAATATGAAGAACTTAGGGGGAAAATACTCAGCCCAGGAGAGCAGAGTATTTTTCCCCCAAGTTCTTTTTCCTCAAGAATGCTATCAAGGCAAAATAAGAGTGTGAAGAGAAGAGGAAAGAATTAGCAGCTTCGATAGAGAAGCTTCGAAAAGAAAAGGTAGAAGAAATTAATATACAGTTGATGAGAGATGTCATATAAACATTCAGATCAGGTGAGTACTTTCTACAAATTACATTATCCATTTCATAAGGAGGTTTTTAGACTGTGTTGGGAAATATCTACAATAAAGAAAATATCAGCTTCTGACAAACAGTAAAATATTCCCTAATTGCTTTTCTTTAGTCATTTGGTCTCAGCATAATACTAATGGCATCCAACTGCTTCACAGGTGGATCCTTGGGGAATGTACGAGGGACGTTCAGAAAGTTCTGGGAATTCTGTCAGTGTACGAAAGGAAATCGAGCTTAAACTATTCTGATCAGAGGTTTTGGATAAATGCTTGCCTTGTTTATTATTGAATTCAGTATTGTTGCCCGAATAATCTCCTGAGCAGAGTTATTCATCTCAGTTCAATTGTATTTTTCGAAACCATGGAAGACGCGGTGAAGGCTCAGCGAGCGATTATTTTCTTTTTATGGAGAGAAGGTGCATGCGATTCTGAGATTGTTCAGAGGCTGCAGGCTGTCTTTGGAGAATCTGCAGAATCGAAGAGTACCGTTTACCGATGGCTGGAGCGGTTTAAAGATAGTCGCCAGACCTTAGAACGACCCTCACAGCGGTCGCCCTCGAACGGCTACCACCGATGGAAAAATTCACGCAGCGGAAAATATTCTCATGAAAGATCGACGCGTTACCGTTCAGGAGCTTGCTACTACCCTGGGGGTCAGCACCGGCAAGGCTCATGAGATTCTCCATGAACATCTCGGTATGACGAAGGTTTCTGCCAGATGGGTGCTTCGCCTGTTGGGGTCTGAAAAAAAGGTTGATCGAATGGAAACGTGTCGAGAGCTGCTTCAACTTAGCCAAGAATACGAGGGGAGTTTTTTTGACCGTATTATCACTATAGATGAGACATGGCTTCCCTACTTCAATCCCGAGACCAAATCACAATCTAAGGAGTGGCGCCGATCTGAAGAAGGACCTCCTTTGAAGGCTCGTACTGTTCCCTCTTTGGGGAAGGTCATGATTATGTTTTTCTGGATAAAGGGATAATAATGATCGACTACCTACCAAAAGGTAACACGATGAATGCAGAATACTATTCTAATCTGATTTTGGGCCCTCTCCGACAGGCTCTTATTGAAAAACGCCCTGGGAAGTTGCATTCACAGCCACTTCTTCAGCAGAACAATGCAAGGCCCCACACCTCGCGCTTAACTAGCAATAGCAGAATTGAGGTAGGAATTGTTCCCGCATCTGCCCTACTCGCCAGATCTGGCTCCCAGTGACTACCACCTCTTCGGCGAGATGAAGAAGCCACTGCGAGGAGTGTGTTTTGAGTCCCTCAATACAACGAAAACTGCACTCAACAGGTGGATCAGAAACATTCCAGAAAAATTTTCCTGACGGTCTAAGGAAACTGATTCCACGCTGGAGGAAGTGCGTCGAACTCAGGGGGGACTATGTTGAAAAGTCACAGTATAATGGTGATGAATAAAGAAGTTACCCATAAATTTTAAAGAAATTCCCAGGACTTTCCGAATGCCTCTCGTAGAGCAAGTGGAGACCTCAGAGAAAGGAGAAGAAATGGCGAGCTGTGTGAAATACTGAATTTTACTTCGTAGTAATAGGAAGATTGATTCACGCACATTTTGCTTTCCTTGCCTAATACTTCTGCACGGCAAAGTCTTAGTGCCAGCTGACAAATGAAGAAATGTGGAGTCTTTGCCTAAAGATTCCATGTTTGTAAAAAAAAAAAAATGCAGCTTGCTGCATCATGGGTGCTGAGTACTTGGTACAACGTTCTATTTCAGGACGACAGGGCCCAACTTCAAAACAAGGCACCAAAACCAAAAAATATCGCTCTACAAACTGACAGCAGTCAGAGGTGAGAGGAAAAAGTATCTCTATCATTCACCATCAATATATCTCATTACCTTTCAGAGGACCAGATTAAGAAGTTGTGAGAGCCAGGGCAAGCCCCTTATGGCCCCCCTTCCCTTTCATTTGGCCCTGACCTCACACCAACCCACACAACACAAGTATATCCCTAAGATATCCCCTTGGGACAAGTGAGAGGTCCCAGGGATGGCCTATAGGGACATCTTAGGGATGTCAAAATGTCTGGGCGCAACGACATCCCAAAAATGTCCCTTTCTTAAAGAACTAGCACATCCCAGAGATATCGCCCAGGGACAAGTGAGAAGTCCCAGGTAATACTGGCGCCTTCCTATCCGCGACGGACTCATTTCCTACCGCACAGGAGAACCAATTACAATCGAAGATGTCTCTATTTGATCTATGAACACAATCTTAAGTTCTTGACCGATTGTAGAGTGACGGTAATAGGATGGGAAAACCTGTTTCTGAAGGATCCCATTATGAGAGACACATCTCCAGAGACAAAAGTTAACATCTTTACACGAGGGGTCATATACGAGATGACTTAGCCTTACGCCTTCTACAAAGTATGAACTCAGGCCTCCAACCAAAGTAGTTGTATCCAGACGTGCCGATCAAACATCATTAAATAGAATGTAACGGAATAAATTAAAATTCGGACAGCAGTTTCTTCGCTTTCCCTAGAGGCAGTTTTCCTGATATACGGTGCGAAAATCCTTACTTATCCTCAGGACAAATCAAGCAGATGAATTTTCTAGAAAAGACCTGAGGTTGGAGATCAGGGCTCATGGAAGACATCTACTTTCGAAGGTTTGCACCTGACTGGAGGCGACAAAGAGCACTGAAGATCCCTAAAAACATCCCCAAGTTGTCCCGAAGATATTCTCCTCAAGATATCTAGAAGCATTCGACTGATTTATTCGACTTATATATTCGACTGAAAGATGTCTTAAAGTCATCCTTGAAGGGGTATCTCTAAGATACCGACTGAAGATGTCTTAAAGACATCTCTAAAATGTCCCGAAGATATCCCTTACGAGATGTCCGATATCGTCCGAAAGAAGATGTCTTCAAGATATCCTATGAAGACCATGAGACAAATCGTCCAGTTAGGGACACCCCTGGGATATCACTGTGCTGTGTGGGAAATGCTGGAAGTACTGTAAATATTCGAGTCACATGAGGAATAAGTCAATCATGAACACAGCCTTGACTTCCTTTCATCATCTTGCTAGATGCATATTGGGGATGATCCCAATGAAGTTACCCCGACACGACTCCAGAGCAACTCAGAAAGGATGTCAGCAGGGTGAATCATTGGATCTCTGAAAAAATAAGCAATTTGGAGCGGACTAAGGATGGCAAGCACATTGACTTCCATGACACTTGAGGACCAAACCCATATCTTTCTTGTCTTTAAATGTGATTTCTTTCAATCATTTTACCATGCAATTTTTCATGTCATTGCCACATTAAAGGCCTTTTATTACTTTGGAACCTCAGAACTTTGGAAACTAAACCCTTGCCTGAACTGAGATCGAATGTTCCAATTCCCTTCCAGCTGGATTCCACCTTCCAATAGCATTCAAGACACCAATAAACCAAAAGTATTAGCTAAATTCCATGTGCATTTCACCATCCTATTCCATTTGCATACCAGCTGGAACCATCTGCCTATTGCATCTTCATACCAGCTGGTTTATAACAGGTATTAGGTTGGTATATATAGCTGGTTCCAGCTGGAATTTTTGACTGGGACATATTTGGGCACTTGTCAAATTGCCATTAATATACTAAAGTGAGAGTCCATGTTTTCAAATTCAAGGATAGAAAAGGATAACTCAGTCTTCAAGAATGAATTGGACTCAAATTCAGAAAGAGGAAAGAGAAAAGTAAAATTCAGGATGAAGAAATCAGATCACCCCCGAATTTTTTATCCGTGAAACATTCATGTGATGGGCAAAAGACCTTTTTGAAAATTATGCCATTGGAGGAGGTTGTACTAGCCACACCCTAGGATTGGCTGTGGGACTTATTCTTACCTGCAGTGGGAGGAATACCCCTCCACTATCTACCAAAAATATTGCTGGAATATGAAGAGATTCTGAAATTTCTTGAGCCCTAATGTACTTTGTCACAGTGATTGGGAAGTAAGTGCCTCCTGTCATAGTTGCATCATTAGCCAGCATCATGCAGGCTACACCATTCACCCAACCAATACCTAAGGGAGAATCATATAAAATAATGAAGATTAATATTAATTCCGCAAGATAGTCTGGTCTCAATTGTTTTTAACAAAACCAGGTCAAGCTCTCATGAGCTACAGCCAATTCAAACTTTACATAATGAATTTGCATGATCCTCATATGACAGAAAAAAATAGAGATGTTACATGAAAAAGTTTCCCTAACCAGTGACAATTCCTGCCCCAGGAAAATTCCCATAATCCATCCCTAATCCTGCAGTCTTCGACAGTTCCAGGAAGGGGGAGTCCTTATCCATGATCTTCTTCAATCTATCTCTCACCAGCAACTTCTTATTCACGACAGTATGCCTCTCAACTGCTCTCTTCCCACCTGCAAGCATGAATCAGGAGCAGTGTTAGGCAGTAACAACATGACTGCCAATAGGTAAACTAAATGCACTGTGCTGATAAATTAATGTAATTCTAAAAAGGATCCGGAAAAAATAATAACTTGAAAGACGAGCTCCACTTGCTCGCAACGGTTTCAAATGAAATAATGAATTTCGGTCATAGTCTAAGTCTAGGCCTGTTAAGCCGACTGGTGTCCCTGTGCCGTGAGAGTCCCTCGGTACAGAGATGTCCGCCACAATTCGGCGATGCGAAGTGTCCCCCACCACCTTGGCTACCGACTCGTGTCCTTGCTAGCCAAACTATGCCGAGTGATGACCTCCGGTAGAAAATCTATACACTCTTAGAAAAAGGGGAGCGATTTTTCCCAAAAAAGAGAGCAAAATAGCTAACTCCAGTTTCACCCCCCTTTCACTCTGGAAAAGGAGCGAATTATCTCCATCACCAAGGAATAAAATTGCTCTCCTCCTCCGTGAGTAAAAACGTTCCCATTAGAAATTGATAGGGATGTCATGCAAATATGAAAGTTCTCATATACTGTGTGTCGTTTCGTTCTCGTAGAGGCTTTGACCTACCTCTGCCTGTACTGAGTACAGCAAATATCAGAAGGTGGACCACCTCTTATAGGTTGCATAGAGTGTCCGAAATATCAGTTCCTTATTACCTCATTTAATTGAGGTGTGACTCAATGATGCTCACGGACACTCTCTGTATATTCTAGATCTCCTATAGCGGATAAAATTTGGCGTGTTCCAAAAGGGTTCTCAATAGGAATATGAGCTTGTTTAGGGCCTTGACTCCATGAATATTTCTTGAATATGTGGATAACAAATGATAAAGTGTCCGTGTTTATTGATTCCTATAATGAGACTAGGCGAGACATACGTCGAGGTACTAAACAATCCTGCTCGGGACGATTCCAGGGAAAGAGGGAAGGGAACTTTTGTGACTAGGCGAGACATATGTCGAGGTACTAAACAATCCTGCTCGGGACGATTCCTGGGAAAGAGGGAAGGGAACATTTGTGTACTGTGCGATAAGCGAGACCCTTACCTCCATCTAGTGGCCTGATGAAGAACTTCAAGGTGTTCACTTCAATACGAGCGAGGAGGGAGCATCTGGTGAGTAATAAGAGAGTACCGTATTTACTCCAGTATAGTGCACCACCGTGTATAAGACGCACCCCCGCTTTTGAGGTCCCAATTTGTGTAAAAAAAAAGATTACCCGCGTATAAGGCGCACCACCCTATTTTGTAGCGAAAAGTGTCGGACAAGGGAGATGAATAAAGGGTAAAGCCTGTCTTGAGGTAGGTCGAACCTCGTTTCTTATTCGCTGTCCCGACCTTTATCGAGGGGGGGTACAGTATCCCTAACGTTTGTTTTATTATCCGTGAAAACGGATGGAAATATACGACGAAATAACACAGCTGCAGAGAAATCCATGTGATTCAGGAAGCGAAGGAGCTGGGCATCCGTGCAATAGGTCATAAGTATGACATCGAGAAAGGTGTTCACTTCAATACGAGCGATGAGGGAGCATCTGGTGAGTAATAAGAGAGTAAATTCGAAAAGCTCACAGTGTGCTCACTTTTTACTCCCCAAACGCTCGGAATTTTCTTAGAGTGTAGGACTAGATTCATAGGTATTGCGGTATCCAGCCTCCATACCAGCTGTAGGGTGGATTTTACAAACACTATTTCCAGATTGAATTCGTACCCCCCCTCCCCATAGTGGAGAGAGGAGAAAACACATTTCTAAAGTTTCTGCTTCAGCAGGTGATAGACAAAACCACCCACGTGTAAGATGTAATCGATGGAAGCGCTCCTATAGGACTATGAGGTACGAATTCAATCAGGAAACAGTGTATGATTCCTAAGAACTTTAGCAATTTACGTACGACTCATCCCCGACTTAGCTAAGACACCTGTAATATTCAACGTCTTCAAGTATTTTAACACCCTAACTTTTACAGATCCAGAGGAGAGTAACAGCCCAGCAAACAATTTGAAACACATAACGTTGAATCAACATCGAATGAACGTTCAGAACGTTGATACAACATTGGTCCAACGTGGCCTTGTTTGCTGGGAGGAAAGTACGGATATATTTGCATTCCATATTGGCGAGAACATCGTAGAAACCAACTGGGTTTGTCCACGCCAAGTGGTCCTAGGATATTAGCCGGAAATTTCCTTAAATATGCAAAGATTACTTTCGCTACAGAAGTTCATCGTCTCTTTTCCCAGAAGACATGAATGAAAGAGAATATTACATTGAAAAATGAAAGAATTAGTTATGATCATATATTATTCATACCATGCTCATGATACTCAAAAATGTGATGAAAATACAAATCTGGAGAGACAGAATTGGACTACTGAAAAAGATGCCAGCATGGGCTTTTATCACTTTCTGATGGGAGCGTTTTTACTCACGGAGGAGGAGAGCAATTTTACTCCTTGGTGATGGAGTTAAGTCGCTCCTTTCCCAGAGTGTAAGAGAGTAAAATAGCTAACTCCAGTTTCACCCCCCGTGNGCAATTTTACTCCTTGGTGATGGAGTTAAGTCGCTCCTTTCCCAGAGTGAAAGAGAGTAAAATAGCTAACTCCAGTTTCACCCCCCGTGAAACTGGAGTTAGCTATTTTACTCTCTTTTTTAAGAAAAATCGCTCCCCTTTTTCTAAGAGTGTGGCATGCCTTTAGGCTCCTTTGCTTCAAGCAGAGAGCCTTTCGGTCATCCAAATTCGCATCGCCAATTTATATCTACGCAGTTGCCATTGGTGAAAAAGACACAAGATATATCATACATGATGTTATTATATTCGCTGGGTGTGCTAGTTGTGATTTTGTTTAGAAGTTGTGAAACTCGCCAGGGGCGAAAGTCGTCAGACCATTCCTTTTCTCCTCAGGCCTCATGCGCCTCTTTTCTCTCGTGTTCGATCGAAGGTTTCAATTTCCACTCTGCTTTTGCGTGATTTCGATACGATATAAGCTGAGAACATTGAAGGGCTCTCAGCGACTAAGCACAACTTTCGTGCTTCATGCTCCCATTAATACTACGGTATAATGAATTCTTGCTCATTATAAAGATCATGTACTGGCCTCCCCAGATTTTTCGTCCACGAGCCGCTACTGATTTTGACTCCTTCCAGTATTATTACCTCGCCGAAATTTTATTCGGTTCCTGCATAAATTTTTTTTTCCTTTTTCGGGTTCCTTGGACCAGTATTAGTACTGGTCCAAGGAACCCGAGCTGTTGCTAAAAAAAAAATTTTTTTCTTAACTCATGACTATTGTGTTTCTACCAAACCTTTACATTCCTTGGCACTGACCGTTCTCTCCAGTGCCAGAATTTGCCTCATTGCAAACTACTGGAAAGGCTAGGAGTTTTAAGCAGAGTGATCTGCGTTAGCAGTGCCCAAAAAATCGGGAGGAACTCATTAGCAGGGTCCAAGGGGAGCGGGAAACCATCGCATCAAATGGCATCCGTTCACTCGAGAACTTCGAGATGCGGATCCTGAAGTACCTGGCAGCTGGCGGAAGTCATACAAAGAATACGTTCTCCAAGTAAATTCTGCGCAGCCGCACGCTCATTGGCCATGGACGGGGAGCCGTTGAGTTCCGGAAACAATGCCACGTGCAATGCAACAATGAACCGTGGAGGGGCTGCCTCGTTTTTTCCTCCTTTATCTCGAAAACGTCCTCCTATCCGATTGAGGAAGGGAGCTAATCCCGATCCTCTCCACCCTCTGGAAAAGGAGTGAAAGTGGATAGGAGGGAGGTAACAAAAAAAAACTTACATAAGCCCTCTCATGCTGTTATTAAGCTCCGCAGTAAACAAGGATTATCAATTACACCACTTTTAATGTCCAAGTGATAAGTGATAGGTTATTAATGTTTCCCTTTCCATACCAGATCATTCACTTAACTCTTCTTAGCTGCGGGTACTTATACCCTCAATCAAAGCAAGGCAATAAGATTCCATATCTTTACCAGATACCTCGGAAACTTTGGCATTGCTACATCTATCTTTATCAATCGATTCACCATTAGATTCACAATTGAAAATTAAATTTTCAAGTTAGTCTGATGCAACAACTCGTCTTTCTTGGTGAACGCCATGCCGTGTTTCTCAGGAGGAGGACCGCATTCGAGAAAAATATAAGCTGATCGGATACTGGCATTCATATATCACCATAGAGTAGGGAGTATAACTAGAGGCGACACTCCGAGAGGTAGGGGAGGGGGAGGGAGGAGAGGGAGGGAGGAGAGGGAGGGGGCCTAAATATTAGAGACATCTGGTGGCTTGTTAACAACACTCCCGCGAGGCGTGCTTCGAATCGCGGGAATCGACACATTCGGGGATTCGACCTAAAAGGAGTCTCTCAACGTAATTCGCTGGGTGCACTAACACTAGATGGCGCGTTTTAAATATGGCGCCTCCCATGACTGAGGGGAGTCGCACATAAGGAGGAGAATGGAACAAAGCCATGTCTTCACAGAATTGTACAGTCCTTCTTCACGTGGGGCTCCTCCCAATTTATTCTCAAAACTTGAGAGCCATGACATTGATAAAGGGA